GCTCCTCTGATGCTGCTTTGCCTGCTGTGTTCATCCAGCTCTACGCCTTGTTATCTCAGATTCTCCAGCATCGGCAGTTCCTACTATCTCTGATATTGTTAACTTCCCCTAGTTTTGATGGATAGTCACAGACCTGAACCATTAAACTTGTTTCTCTCTCTGGGCTGCCTACAAAGGCAAAAGGAACTGTGCAGACGAAATCCCAGGAAGTATCTTAAGAGAGCATAGATGGATTTTGGGAATGCTGAAGAGTTGACAGCTATGTGGAGCTGAACAAAAGATGTGTTGAGGCCTGGGGCAGATCAGCTACGCCATTATCGTACGGTGCAGCACACCTGAGGGGATGAATAGTCTCCACCTGCCTCTATTTCTTATATTCTTATGTGCCGCTGTATGCTGCCGAAATTTTCCACAGCGGCTATAGAACATTTCTATAGGTGATGGCCTAGTGTTATTGTGGCTGGACTGTTGACCAGGTAATGTTCTGGGGACCTGGGTCTGAAACCTGCCATAGCAGATGGTGGAACTTGAAGTCAATAAAAATCTAGAATTTAGAGTCTAATGATGACCATGAGTTGATTGTTGGGGAAAAGTTCATCTGCTTCTCTAATGCCCTTTTGGGAAGGAAGCTGCCATCCTTACCTGGTCTGGTCTATATGTGGTTCAAGACCCACAGCAATGTGGTTGACTCTTAACTGCTGTCTGAGCAATTAGGCATGGGCAGTAACTGGTGGCTTGGCCAATGACACCCGCTTAACACAAATGAATTAAGAGACAAAAGGTCCATTTCTCCACACCTCGGTGGGAGAGGTATTGGTGAACCTGCATGCTGACCAGAAAATATCAGTCAACTACTGACAACATGCCTTCATCACAGAATCATTACAGCACGGGAGAAGGCCATTCAAATCCATGCTGGCTCTTCTGAGGAGAGATTCATGTTCTGCCCTTAATGCCTCCTCCCCACATCATTGCATGTTCTTGCTCTTCAGATATTTAGACCATTAGAAGTCATAAACTCCTCTTAGTTACACATCTACACTTTTGTGGATGGTTAACTCTTCTGATCCCCATCTCCCACCTTTGGAAAAATATACCAGATCTGGAATGGTACCAAAAAAGTGACACACTGGCTTACAATGTGAATATTTATCCCAACAACCTCTGTAAACTACCCAACCCCGCCCCACTTTCCAGGGTCACAGAACAATAATATGGCAATATCTACTAATTAGTTTATGGCCGCATACATAATATCATTGATTTTGCCTCATCATTAGCTTTGAATATTCTCATGCAATTTAACCAGGGATTCACGTTGTTGGACCCTTCTCCAAATAATGAATTGTCTCTGTGATACACGTTCTCCTCTGGGCATGTACTCACAGTCTGTGCAATAAGAAATAGTAAGGGGAATTGAAATTTTGGATCAAACTTCTAAGCCTCATTATTTGCTTTAGCACAAAGAAGACGAAAACAAAAGAGGTAACTGTGTTGAATTAGCTTTGAGGACAAACGATCTAATGCTGACTTTACCAAAGTATGCCTGATGCTTGTTATAGGTCTGCTTGTCATCAGTTTTGATGTAAATATGAAATATCTCACATTTGAATTGATTGTGCTAAAAATAGACCATTAATCTTCAAGTCTACCATCTAATTTTTAATATCTGCGACCTCTCATGGCCTGAAATGTTTCTGATGAAGGAGAAGCACTAAATTGACATGGCTGTGATGTTTATCTGACGATAGGTTGAGCCAGTTTTTAAGAAACCATCAATAAACAAGATTCAGCTTGAACTGAAATTGACATGTTCCGAAACAATTGAAACCAATCATTGAGATCTGTATGTCTTACTTGATGGATGCCCTTCTGGAAATTTCACATATTCGAATGAAAGTCGTTTGCAAATTGTTCAGCTTGGAGAAAACAATAAAACCAGACACAGGGAACACACAAAGTAACTGGATTTCAGGCAACTGATTCTGGGTAATATGGAAGAAGGAAATGGATTTATAACAGGAAAATTGGAAGGCTTTCACCCTGTCTTTCTGTTTCTCTTTGCCTCATGAGAAACACCACGTAGTGATAAAACAAATTGGGGAATTTGGTGAGAATTCAAGGGCATCTATGAATTTTGCCAAATGCTGAGCTTACAAGTCGTTAATTAAACAATCATGGTCTCAGGTTGCAATCTAATACCTCGATGACTCTAAGAACTTTTTAAAACTACCAATTATTAATCTTCCTTTTTGTATTAGACACTGTCTCCTTTTAAAAATTCATACCTGTGATGATGTGTACGTTAAATGAGGCAGTTCATGATTTTGAGTAGGGCTGGTTGGCAATAAAATTCCTCTTTCTTTCACTTACGGTAACCTTGTAATTGGTTCCTTATTTTGAGTTCTACTGTGTTTAAAACAAACTGTGATTTAGCGGCATGCTAAGAAGAATTATGCATTGATGCAGCCAACTGCAGAGGTTAATATCAGGGAAGCTGATTTGGCCCTCTACGTCTCATTTCAACACATATTTTATGCTGCCTATTTTTTAACCCAGTATCCTCCAAACAGGCTTTCCAACTCTAAAGTTACGTGTCTATCCATATATCAAAAATGGGGCAGAGACACAGAGTGGTGAGACAAGTGGAGCAATGGATTGCTGTTCTCAGGACTGTGTCCCAACAGCAATGTGGGTTTACCTCCATCACATGGACTACAGCAGTTCAAGATGGCTGCTCACCATTGCCTTCTTGAGGGCAATCAGAGATAGGCAATTAACTCCAGCCTTGCTAACAATGCCCACATTCCATGAACAAAGAAAGAAATAATTATCATGGCACAGAAATAGATCAATTTTACGGCAAAACAGTTGTTACGATGTATTAATATACAGTTAAACATTGATTTCCTTTCTAGAATCATACATTCAGGTCATAAAATGACATATTTCATTAATAATTATATTTATAGGCTGGGACTTTTCTCAGTGGTGTGTAGGAGGTTGAGGGGTGACCTTCCAGAGGCTTATAAAATCATGAGTGACATGGATAGAGTGAATAGCAAAGGTCTTTCCCTACGGTAGGGGAAATCAAAATTAAGGGGCATATTTTGAGGTGAGAGGGGAAATATTTAAAAGGGACATGAGCAGCAACTTTACACACAGAGGGTGGTGCGTATATGGAATGAACTTCCAGAGGAAGTGATAGATGTAGGTACAATTACAATATTTAAAATACATTATGATATGTTAATGAATAGGAAAGGTTTGGAGGGATATGGGCCAAACACAGGCAAACGGGGCTAGTTTAGTTTGGGAAACTTAGTCAGCATGGAATAGTTGGACCGAAGGGTCTGTTTCTGTGCTGCATGACCCTGTGACTGTAAGCATTATATTAACAAAAGTATTATGTTATAAATATAGTAAAATATTATACAGTTAAACATTGATTTATTTTCTCGAATCATATCTTCAGGCCACAAAATGACATATTTCAGTAAACACTTTCTCGTGGACACTTTGTGAATGAATGAATTATTGAATCTCTAAAGACCAGATTTTTTTACAGATTCCATATAGCGCACTGAAAAGAATCTTGTGCTTATGCTCTCCTTCTTTTCCAATTGGGTGGTGAACCGAAAGTACCCAATGTTGATTCGGTCATCATGCTTTCGCTTGGCATACACCATCCTGTTTGTGTTGGCATCTCTGAGGTTGTTTGAGGTCTTTAAACGCAGTGAAGTTCAGTCTCTTACTGCCAGTATAAACTCGACAGATTCAACACTGCGAACTGATGATAAACCCACTTACTTCGCAACTTCAGAACCAGGTTAGAGGAAATACAGCTTATATTGCAGCTTCTATTCTGCTAAGCACTTCACACAGCAACTGGGCCACTGCATCCAATTGGTAGAACCAGCCAATCACGGAATGTTCCAATATCAAACAAGGTCGACAAATAAACATCAAGTCTAACCCCATTTTTCAGACTTCAGCCTGTAGCCTCACGTGTTATATTTCCACGGACAATTTTTTTTTTCTTTATTCATTCACGGGATGAGGGCATGGCTAGCCAGGTAAACTTTATTGCCCATCCCTAATTGCTCAGAGGGCAGTTAAAAGTCAACCACATTGCTGTGGGTCTGGAGTCACATGTAGGCCAGACCAGGTAAGGATGGCAGTTTCCTTCCCTAAAGGGCATTACTGAAGCGGAT